CGGACGGAGTCCTTGGGGCGCTTCAAGAAAATCCGTCCGAGTACTGTCTCGGACGAGCGCGTCGCTGCAGGGGCCGCAGCAACGGGCGGCGCGGGCGCGTCCTCGTCGTCGCTGCTGTCCGACACGTCGGGCAGCTCACGGAAGAGCCCCTGCAAGAGCTGGCCCACTGCGTCGACGTCGAATGCCCCCTGGCGCGGCGGGAGGGGGGGGGGCGGGAGTGCAGGGAGGTGCAGGCAGGGGGGGAGGCAGGGAGCGGGGCCGGGAGGACGGGGGGGGGGAAAGGAGAAGGTGGAGAATGAGGACAAAGTGGCGAAGGGCGAGGAAGGAGAAAGCGGAGCAGGACGCGGAGCAGGAGGGGAGGAGGAGGAGGGTGAGGAGGAGAGGAGGAGGAGGAGGAGGAGGAGGAGGAGGAGGGTGAGGAGGAGAGGAGGAGGGGAGGAGGGAGGAGGAGGGGAGGAGGAGGAGGAGGAGGAGTAGCGGCGAGCGGGGGTGGCCGCGTGGGTGGGGAGGGGGCGGCGGGCAAGCGGAACAGGTGGAGCGGGCACGGAGGCGGAGAGGTCAGCGGGCAGGAGGGAAGAGGCGTGTAGGCGGCAAGGCGGGAATAATTGCGTGGTAAGGCAGATGACAGAGTAAGACGCAGAGAGAGCGTAGAAGCAGGAACGGAGGAGGGAGGTGTGCAATGAGGGAGGTGGATGATGGGGAGGAGGGGGAAGGGGGGGGGTAGGAGAGGCGGAGGAGGGGGAAGAGTGGAAGGGGGGGCGGGGGGAGGGGTGCGGCGGAGGAAGCAGGTAGGAGGAGGAGGAGGAGGGAGGAGGAAGAGGAGGAGGAGGAGGACGGGGAGAAAGGTCATGAGGAGGAGGAGGGGTAGGAGGAGGAGGAGGAGGAGGAGGAGGAGGAGGTGGGAAAGGATGGGAGGAGGAGGAGGAGGAGGGAAAGGAGGAGGAGGAGGAGGGACAGGAAAGGAGGAAGGAGGGGAAGGAGGAGGAGGAGGAGGAGCAAGAGGAGGGGAGTAGGGTAAGGAGGGGGGAGGAGGAGCGGGAGGAAAGGATGGCTCTGGCTCTAGAGGCAGAGTACGGAGGAGGAGGAGGAGGAGGAGGAGCAGGAGCAGGAGCAGGAGGACGAGGAGGAGGAAGAGGAGGAGGAGGAGGAGCAGGAGGAGCAGGCGGAGGACGAGCCGGAGGAGGAGGAGGAGGAAGAGCAGGAGGAGGAGGAGGATTGAACCTCTCAGCTCCTTCGTAGCCGCCCTACCCCCGCTATCGCCTCTCCCTCCTGTTCACGTTTGTGCAACGTCCTCCTCCTCCTCCTCCTCCTACTCCTCCTCCTCAGCCTCCTCATCCTCCTCTGCCTAATCCTCTTCCCTGCCCCTGGCGGCGGGGCCTGCTGCTCCACGATGTCAAACACCGGAGGCTCCGCAGGAGCCTGCACGTGCTCCACGCTGACGATGCTCTGGACCTCCGCTGCCGCCTGTGCGCCTGGCGATGCGGCGGACGAGCAGGATGGGGACTGCTGAACGGCTGGTAACTTCGTCTCGAACCGAGCAGGGCGAGCGGCTCGCCTCGGCGTCTGCACGCCATGCCGCGCCCTGAGCGTCTGCGACGCTGCTAGCGGCGACGCCGGCGAAAGCTGCGTGGACGGAATCGTGTCCGCGTCGGCACCTGCATAAACCTCCAGGCACGCCTGTCGCAACTCGTCCCCAGCAGCGAGAGCACGCGCATTGGAGCGGCCAAAGACAGCGACGTCGAAACTGGCGTGCTCCATGGCGAGTACCAGGTTCGGGTCCTTGCAGGCGAACTCAGCTGCGCCAATCGACAGCGCCTCCTCGACAAGGGAGGGCTTGCGCTTCGAAGGCGGCCTGTCAGGCTCGACAACGGCGGCAACGCCGTCAGCCTCCAGGAGATTTGCGAGGGAATCCTCGAGCGTCGCGGCAGGACCCTCTGCGCCCTCAGGCGCGAGTGCCGCCGCCGACGCTGCAACTGCCGCTGCAGGGCTTCCGAGACTTGCCATCGGCTGCGTGCAGGCGGTCTCGGTGGTCGAGGCTGGAGCGAGGGCGCCCGTGGTTCGGGCCTGGCGGCGCCCGGCTACGCCGCCGGGCGCACTGGTAGCTGACTGCGGCTCTGAGGCGGCGGCGCAGCTGACCATCGGCGCCAGAGCAGCGGCCGCGGTCGCGTCGCTCGTAGCGACATCGCTGCCCGCAAGTGGCGATCCCAAAGCTTCCCCAGTAACTGGCAGCGACGCTGCGGTGACCTCGGATGCCTCCTTGTCTGCGGCAACTGCCGACGGCTGAGAAGCCTCTGTCTCTGCGTTCTGAGCCGCGGCGGAAGGGACCAGCGGCGAGTGCACGGCGGTCGCGGCAGACGGCTGCGGCGTTGAGCCAGGCGGGCCGCCTGTCTCCAACCTGGGCCCAGGTGCAGCATCGGCCGTGACCGCGGGGTTTCCGCCTAGCGGCGGGCCAGGAAGTGGCTGTCCAGTGTTATCGAGGACGTCTACCGCCACTGGCAGGCCAACACATGTGTCTGTGCAGTCCCCGCTGCGCTCGACATCTGGTGTCTCTGGCGGAGCCGCAGCCTCGCCTGGCGCGAGCTGCCCTGCGGCACCGGTGATGTCTGCCGCCACAGGAGAGCCAAGCACGCGGCAACCGTCTGCTGGCGTGCTGGGCGGGGCCGAAGCCGCGCCTGGCACAAGCTGCTCTGCTGCGTCGGTGACCTTGGCGCCAGACTCCGCGGGAACTGGGCTCTGCGCAATCTGCGTGTCGAACTGTGCGCAGAGGCCCTCCAGTTCTTCCGACATGCGCTGAGTCTCGATGTAAATCCCAGGCGTATCCTCGCTGTTCGCCCCGTGCTTGGCGCGCTTGCCGGCCTTCGGCGTCGCCGCCGCTGAGGACGCGATGCCCGGCCTCCCCTGCTGCTTGGAAGCCGCCTTGGACTTGGCACGGCTTTTGGTCGCCGCCTTGCCCGACCCCTTCGCGGCCGCCTTCGGCGCAGCCGTCGGCCCTGCGCGCGGATGGGCGGATCCTTTCATGAGGCTCTGCATGATAGAGGAACCCGACAAGGGCTGGTGCTTAGATGCCGACTCAAGCCCGCTCATCGGTTGGGGGTCCTGGAATTCTGCAGGATGACGGAGTTGTGAGATTGCTTAGGCGTGAGCTTGAGGCTTGGTAGCAGCTGCGGTCAAGACGTAAGTGTGTGTAGCGACCTGGTCGCCCGTCGGCACTATTGGGGGGGGGGGCCCGGGGCCGTGGAATCGCTCTCCGCCTTCGCCCCTCCCCTCGATTGGAGCCCACCGTCTTACTGGTGGCGCGTGTGTGTGTGCGTGTGGGGGGGGGGGGGTAAGGTAACGATAGATGGTGGGGGCGGGGTCCTGGACACGCGCCCCCTATCACACTCCACCCTCGAACTTATAACAAATCTCAGCTCAGGAGGCCAACGTGCCAGAATGCCCGAGACGTCCACGGATGATGCTCCAAGTCCCCAGAGCTGCACGGATCAAACGTTCACAAACGTTCACTGTGTACTAAATCATAGCACACCCCGTGGTTTTTTTGTGTCCACACAACAGGCGGCTCACCCCGCAGTCCTGCCAGAATGCGACACATGAGAGTGCAACAGGTCCCCGGCACAGAGGTGGCGCAGCTCTACCGCCCACCTCGTCTGTCTGCCAAGCGTCTACCGCCGACCTCGACGGTCTGGCAGGCGCCACATCATGCCCCTCCTCGACCTTCTCCTCCACCCGCTTTCCTGTCTTCACACCCTCCGTCGTCCGTCCCTCACCACCTGCTGCCTAGAATGGAGGCCCATCTAAATCCTCTGGGTCGCGTTGCGGACCCAACTCGCGAATCGGAATCTCCATGTGGAGATTCCGCGCGTGCGGCGACTCGTCGTCAACCGCCAAGCCTGCCTGCAGCCACCTCTTCAACTGCCTCACGCAGCCTGCGTCGTCGAGGATGGGCTGATCACCCCTCCCACGATACTTCAGGTTCCTCTTGCAGACCGCAGTGTCACCGAAATTGTGGTGCAGTCCGCACGTCGCACCCCACCCGATGCGCACGCCCTGGGACACCACCTCGGCTATTTGGAATGGCCCCCAGGGCGTGCTGCGCCGCGCGCGACCACCACCAACTGGCGGCGGCGGCGGCGGCGGCGGCGGCGGAGGTGGCGGCGACAGCGGCGGCTCCAGCGCCGCGGGCGGGGGCTCCGGCGGCTCCGGCTCTGGGGCGGGCGGCGCCGAGGCAACGGGACTCGCTGGGGGTGTCTGCTGCTGCATCCTAACTACTGGGTCTGCTTCGTCGTCGCTGCCGAACTCTACGGTCCCGCTCGCAAGGTCCTCACGAATGGCTGGCAGATTATCAAAGACATCGGTGGCCGTAAACACCGTGCCCGAGAAGTCCGTCGCGGCGAAGATCGATGTGAAATGTTTCATGAGTCTCCCCGACGGTGTATTCGGGTCGAACATATCGACGAGCTCGCACTCCTCTACTGCCTCCTCCCCGGCGGGCTTCTCGGGGATCAAGCCCTGGGCGATGCGGCGGGGCAGGGGGCAGGGGGCGGTGCGCTATCGGCAGCGCCTGACTATCGTCGAATATCCCTCTCGAGAAGGTCGATCGCATCGTGGAGAGTCGAATGGTTGAGGGCGAGCTAGCACAGAGAGGTGTGAGGACGTATACGCCCCATTCTCCTTATCATTATTGGCATTCCAATTCTAAACCTCATCATGCTCCCTGATCGTCCTGCACCTCCTCCTCCACCATATGTATTCACCGTGTAGCCCCCCGTCTGCTACAATCCCTGTCATCTGAGTTGTCAGACCCAGGAGTAGGAGAGGGAAAGGAGGAGGAAAGGGCGGACGAGGACGAGGACGAGGAAGTGGAAATGGATGGGGGGGGGGGGAAGGGAGGAGGAGGCGGGGGCCGTCAGGCATGCTCCTTCTGAGCGCGGTGAAGGAGACTCCGGGGTCGAGAAGAATCTCCGATCTATAATGAGCATGGGGCGTGGGACGGACGGAACGGCGCGGGCCTGCAAGACGCAGTCAACCACGCTCTCCCGGGCCAGGCTCTCCGTGATGAGGCTGACGCCGAGGGGCCCCGAGGGGTTGTCAAGGGGGACGCACTTCACCAGCTGGACGCTCAAGCACTGGCCCTCCTGCGGCACCTCGCCGCCGAGCAAGCGCTTCACGATGGACACGTTATTCAACACCACCAAGTGCATGTCCTGGACACTGAACCTGACAGTGCCAGGGGCATCGCCAGGTTCACCTTGCGAGGGAGGGTGTGCAAAGGCTACTCGACTGGACGCCAGCCCTCGGGGGCCACGTTTCGAGCCTCTCACGACGTCGGTGGTCTAATGCTAGTCTCCTGGCCCTTCCAGGGGGAGGCGGGAGAGGGGGGAGAGGGGGGGGGGAGGAGGAGAAGGAGAAGGAGGATGAGGCGGAGGAAGAGGAGGGGGCCTTCCAAAATGCCCCAGGGCCGTCGAAACTGAACATTCCTGATCGGCGAAACCTGCCAGAGAGACACCGCAACGCTGGGCAAGAACAAGTAAGACGATGCGAGAGACACAAATCCTATCTATGCAGTCCAAGTGAGCTGAGGGTGGGGGTCGTAGTCAAGCAAGACGTTCGAGGTAGAAGACTAAGAGCTGGATGTCAAGGGAAGGGGAGAAGTAGAAAAGAGAATCGAAAGGCATAGAAGGATAGGGTGGCAACGGTTGTGGTACGTTTGAACATCTGCGCACCTGCCAGGAAGAGCGTCAGGAGCGGGTTGCTGCCTCTTGTAGAGGCGCACCAATAGAAGCCACCAGCTTTCATGGTCTCAGGCGCCCCAGGCTCGCTGAGCTCGATGCGCATCCATTGGAACTGCCAATCACCCTTCCACGCGCGCTGAGCCAGCGCAGTACCAGTGCCCGCGAGCGCCGGATAGATCGGCGCGTCCTTGCTTTCACAAACGCCCGCATGCCGCTGCCAACAGGCTCGGCGCACAGTCACCGCGCGGCCCTTGGCGATCTTGCAGGCGTCCTTCACGAAGCAGGCGTCCTGAAACTCCTTTCGAAGGCTGGTCCCCCACGATCTGAACGAGTCATCGACGCCAGCCCCCGTCGCTTTCAAGAACGACTGCTGGTTCACGGGCAACCCGTCCCCGGTCAGGCCACACACCGGGGCCGCGTCGGTAACGTGCTCTAACGGCTCGACCGCTGGCAACGTTGCCTCGAGGGCGACCTTAAGCCGCTTTGACATGAAGTCCTCCTCGGCCCGTGTCTCCCACTGCGACTGTTCTCCCAGCGGAAGACGGTGGAAGTCCGCCTTCAGCGCGGACCGTTCCGTGAGCCTCTGCAGCTTCGAGCGAGGAGGCCCATCTTTGCGTTCCATGGCGTTGACGTACTTCATCCATCCAGGAGCTTTGCGGGTGGTCCTGCGCCCCCGCGGGATGGCCGATGCCAGCGGCGCCCCCATGGCAGCAGCCGCGGTCGCCTGCTGCTCCCTGGGGTCGTCGCCGCCAGCCTTCAAGTGCTGGGAGAGGCACTCTGTGAGGAAGCCGTTGACGCGAACCCTCTCCAGGCATGCGTCGCTGATGTCCATGCAGCGGTGGATCTGCGCGAATAGACGCTCGACCACCATGTTGGCGATGGCGGCGTGCCTGCCAAACAGGCGAAAGGCCTGCCAGAACTGGCCGTCGTTGAGCAACGCCTCGGGCCCTGACCATCGCGCCCTCATCTTGGCTGCCAATTTCGGCTCTAGGCAGCAGTCGTCCTCGTGGAAGAAAGCCTTAACAGCGTGCTTCAGCTCGACAAGGGGCGCGCTGGATGCGAGCCTGAGCAAGCGGAAAGGCCAGTCGCCGAGGGCGTTGATAAACCTGGGCGGCAGAAGACAAACATGACTAGACGGGAAACCTGCGAGTCAATAGCGGGGGGTGATGTATGGCGCTGGGCCAGAGGTGACTGAGGGGTGAGGGTGGCGACGGAGCCAGACCGGAGTGAGGGGCCAGAGGGAAGAGGGGCGAGGTGCGCGGGGCCAGAAGCGGGCGATGGGCCAGGCGCGCGGGCGGGAAGGGGGGAGGGTGACAAGACATCAGCCGGAAGCCAAGAGAGCGCAGCAGAGATGAGATGCATGGGCGACTGGTAAGAGGGCAGAGTGGCATTGGCCTGGAAGGAGCCAATCCCAAGAACAAGACACCCCAAATGCGGGCCACGACTGTCGCCGATGGTCTCGACTCCTCCACTCCTCGTACTCGGCTTCGTCTCAGACCGACCCCTCCTACCCCGCTGCATCCTACTCCGATCGGTGACGCCAAACTGAACATCACCGATGGCGTCACCGCCACCTCTCCCCACCCTGCTCCATGCCATCCTCCACGTGCGTATCTGCATGGAAATGCTCCACATCCTACTAGTGTCGCCCCCCTCCTCCCTCCCGTCGTCGCTGACGTCCGACCACGGCGAGGGCGCCTCCAGTGCAGCTGAGCGTAGGCCGACGCCGAGACCTGCATGGCCACTGACCGCGCCATCATGAGCTCGGTCCGCTTATTCTCGTAATGGTACCACAGCATGTCGAGGCCAGAACCCTGCAGTCGGGCATCCACGGGCTCTTGATACGAGAGCGTGAGCATCGCGCGCAGGCGAGCCATGCACTCGACGATGGGGCTCGCACTCGGCTGGATGACCTGGGCTCGCGAGAAGCGTGCGGGCAAGCTCAGATTTCAAGAAGGATGGTCGGTGACAGCGAGGGGGCGGAGGAGGGGGGGGGGGAGGCGTGAGGCAGAGGAAGGAAGGAGGAACACGTGCCGCAAGGCGAAGTCAAAGACGGGGTAGTGCGGAGAGAAGGTAGCGGACTGCGCAGAGGCGATCCAAACGACGATAGAGGCCGATGTGACTAGACAAGTCCCGGAACCAATTGGCCGATCTTTAGCGATCGACAAAGCGCGGGACGTCCATCAGTCCAGCTCGATGCGAGTCCAGCCATTCAAGCCGCTGCCACAGCCAGTGGAGAGGACGCCCGGCGACCAATGTCGAGACCATCCGCACCTTCCAGCGGAGTCCCAGCGGCAGCGGACGGACGAGATCAGGCGCTGCTTCAGGCTGAAGTGAAGCTCTCAGCAAGAGCGAGCTTCTGGCGTGGCCTCCTGATGTGACCCGAGCCGTTGGCAGCGCCTCATCTCATCCCGCCCGCAGGTGCCGAGGCCCCACCGAACCTTAAACTCGTAGCTCCGATTGACGCAGCAAGCACGAAACGTCTTGCTCGCGAGGTACTTGCGGTAGTCGAGCGCGTCAGCCTCCTTCGAAACCAACGCGCAGGAGGGGGGGGGGGGGGGCGCGACGCCGCAAGCCCAGGGCCCCACAACGAGCGACGTCGCAGACGCTGCCGTCGCTACTACACTGCCGGGGCAATCGTCATCGCACGCACTGACGGCTGATCCGTTGACAAGCGTGAGAGCCAGCGTCACCGTCCGCATCGTCGTGAGCCCGCTGCCGTATCCCCCCCCGCTCTTCGCCCGCCCCCGCCCCGCCCCCCCTGCACCCACGCGTCGGCCTCCCGCCTCCACCCCCTCCACCCGCTCATCGGCCTCCTCCGCCTCCTCCTTGCCCCACTCCTCCTCATCGGTCCCCTCATGATTAGCCTCCTCCTCCTCCTCCTCCAACTCCAACTCCTCCTCGTCCTCCTCCTCATCCTAATTCTCCTCAGCCACTCACTCCTGAGGAGCGGGATTGGGCCCTGCGGGAGGGAGGGATGCGGAGAAGAAAGAGTAGAGGACGAGGAGCAGCAGGAGCAGGAGGGGCAGGAGGTCGAGGGCAAGGAGGAGCAGGAGAAAGCGCAGTAGGGAGGAGCAGGAGAACCCCGAGAACGCACGCGCCCGACGGGGATCCTGGTCCGCAGCATCCGCCATGCGGTCCCACTTGGGGAAGGCCTGCAAGAGCGCCCGGGCGGCCACGTCATGCACCATGACTCCGGGAGCCTGGATGGGACGACGGCGTCGTCGTCATCCGCCGCCCGCCACTGACATCGTCGGCAACGACATTAATGGAGGGGGCGCCCGGTGGAGGCGAAACCTAGAAGGAGCCAGGAGGAGGATTGGAAAAAGCCGAGGGGGCTGGGGAAGCAGGCGAGGAGGATGGCAAGCGGAAAGGCGCGCAGCCTGCTCCGCCATGCTCTCGTCGAGCTGCCCCCAGCGGTCTTTCCGGGGCTCGCGGCAGCCAGGGGGCAGCAAGACGCCGCCCTCGAGAAGGGCGCACAACACGTGCGTCGCCGCCTCCTCCCTCGAGGAGCACGCCCCGCAGGCCCTCTCGTAGTGCGCGATCTTCCGCTGCCGAATGTCGCCGTTCAAGAACTGCGAGATCTTCGCCATCTTGACTGTCGCCGCCGCCGTGGCCTGGCAGCTCGGGGTGCTCCAAGGATCGCCTACAGGACCTCCAAGGATCGCCTACAGGACCTCCAAGGCTCGCCTACAGGACCTCCAAGGATCGCCTACAGGACCTCCAAAGATCACCTACAGGGTGCTCAATGTCGGACACCGACGGCCTCCAAGGATCGCCTACAGGGTGACCACATAAACACAAGAACCGCCAAATCACCAAAGACAGCCTGCGGGGCGCGGTTGCCAAGATGGCCAAGCGGACCTACTTGCACCTTCGGAGAAGCCCCAAGGTCCTGCAAGCTCCAACACCAACATCCTGGGAGCTTCTAGGAGATCGAGAGCACCACTGGACCGCTCGTTATCCTTGTTCTCCTCGTCGACCTCCTCGTCCGTTGCCTCCCGCTCGTCCTTCGCCCCCCGCACCTCCGCCACCGTGGTCCTTCGTATCCTCCCCCTCCGCCGCGTCGTCGACTCCTCCTGTCCTCCGCCCCCGTCGCCTCCTCGTTCCGCGCGCCCTCCCAGCCCGAATGCGTCCATCCTCCACCTGACTCTCCGAACCGCCCGTCGTGCTAAAACAAAATCGGGTCCACCAAACCTCTCACATCAACCTCCGCCCCCTCCTGAATCGTTCCCTGGGCGGCCTGTGGATCGCGCAGCGCCGCGCCGACATTGTCAGTGCAGCCGCGAACGTCCATGCAGAGCGTGAACTTCAAGACGTCGTCGAGGTGGCGGCCCCACTGGGGATCTGGGATGTCGAGCTCATTGTACTCGAACTCCCGTGGGTCGAGAAGCAGCGCACCTAAAGCCCGCGCCACACAATTGTGGTGCGCCACCGAGCGGTGGACGACCGCGTTCGCATGGACGTCGCCAATCAACTTGTCCTGGGACGCGGGCTGGAGGCAGGCAGAAGGGCACGCGCGAGAGAGACGACAGGAAGGCTGAGGAAGGGGTCAAGACACGCTAGGAGAGGGGGGTATGAACATGGATGCTGCGAAGGCCAACAAGGAGTTGGTGGCGGAGGTCCCTAGCCGCAAACTAGTTTTAGATTAGCGCATCTCCCCTGCTCCTCCTCGCCTTCCTCCTCCTCCCCCTCCTCCCCCCGTCCTCCTATGCCGCCTATTCCTCCTCCGGGTGCTCCTCATGCGCCTGACCCTGCGCCTCCAAAGGATCACCCGCCCACCCTCCCCTCCCCCACCCTCTCCGCAATCCTCGTGCACCGCGCGCAGCATCGTCGTGTGGACGCCGTGCACACTGCAGAAGTCGAACGGATTCTCGAAGAGATTGTCCACGTCGCTCAGCTCTTGGTGCATGAAGGCGAGGGCCCGACAATTACTCGCAGCCTTGTCTGGGACTTGGCTGACGAACACGTACGGGACGCGCGTGGCCAGCGCTTTGAGTCCATCACAGGTAAACGCAGGCTGCGCCTGATCGACGCCCTCGAGGATCGCGCTGCTTCTGCCGTTCTCGAGGAAGCACGGCGGAGTGGGGATCTCCACGCGCTCCTCGAGGCCGCCCTTCGGCTGACGCACAAAGAAGGGATGGAGGAGGGGACCCAGCAGGGCAGGAGAAGCCGGGGGGGGAGGCGCAGGAGCAGGACAGGGCGGCGAAAGCAAGGGGGAGAGGGAGTGGGGGAGAGCCAGGAGTGGCGAAACAGTCGGGGGATGGACCAGGGCGGGAGCGGAGAGTGACAGAGGACTGGAGGGGGGAGGGGGAGCGCGGGCGAGAGGGGAGAGGGGAGCGGGAGAGGAGGAGAGGAGGAGGGGGTGGGGAAGCTGCGGGCGGCTGAGGAGGAGGTGGAGGAGGAGGAGGAGGAGGAGGAGGAGGAGGGTGAGGAGGAGGAGGAGGGATAACAACTACAGAGTAGGGTGCCAGCGAGGGAGGGGTGCAGACCTCCCTCTCCCCCATCGCATCTCGACCGCATCCGCCTCACAGGCCGCAGTTCCCTTCGCCGTCTCCATCGGCTCATCCCCCCCTCGACCCCATCACCCGTGCCGCGTGCGCCTGCATTCGCGCCCCTTCCTCTGTGTCCTCTTCCTCCTTCCCTACCGCCTCATCTGTCCTCTCCTCTCCTGCGACGCCCCCAGTCTCTCAAGCTCGAGGGGCAAGGCGGGCTGACATCCTTATCCACCGATGCCAGCGCGACCTTCATCCCCAGCAGCTCGAGCGTTCCTCTCTCCGGCAGAACGCTGCCGAAGCCCCGCTCGATAAACTCGGACGCCGAGATACTCTTCATCAGCTTCGTGTCGGCATCCTCCAGGAGGGGGCCCTTCCTGACACTCCACCTCACTCTTACCTCCTCCTTACACCTCCACCGCCCGCGCCCCCCCCCCCCCCCCCTCGTCCTCTCCCGCCTCCCCGTGCTCCTCCTCCTCGTGCTCCTCCTCGTCGTCGTCCTCCTCCTCCTCGTCCTCCTCCTCCGCCTCCCTCCTCCTCC